CAATAACTGATGAATTGATTAATTGACAGTCGTCGTTAATTTATTCAAGTTAAGATATTTCAGTTGTGTATCTTTTCAGCGAGAGTTATTGTGGAAAATTGAAAACTATTATTAGTATCTGTTGTAAGTTGTTTCCTCTGATATTGCGTTCATTTAGATCATTTAGTTTTTTGGGATTGATGTATATCGTAGTAGATTTCAATATATTGACGAACGTCATGAAATAACGTACAATGTACATTTAAAAACCTTTTGTACGTATATTATTCTCGTGTTAGATGGCTTCAGCTCGTTGCATTATTATAATTTTTATGATACAGTTTCATTATAATATTGGTATTTGGCCAATCACAAAAACTTACAGCTGAGAAGTAATGAAACATTGGTCATCATACGATTTGTTGGATTGTGAATATTACCGAACCTACACAACCCGTGAGGTGTCGTGACAGTAAACCGCACAACTCAGGAGGAAATCATAATCCTCTGTAGGACTTCCCAGTTATTATGCTGATAAGAACAGATACAGAACTTTGATGACATTTCTTTAATAAATTGAATCCTAAGTTATCTCGTGTAGACCTGTTCGTTTGAAGTCGGATTGTGCTTGTTTCATCAATGCCACCTAGGTGACTGACTGATTGGTGCCATTGGCTGAATTCTGCTTGCCAACTATCACGTAACGTTTCAGTATAATATTTAACTTCACACACTTGTTTACGACACTCGCTCGTGTAGTAATATTGCTTCACACTCAGGAATTACTACCTGACAATACATCATTTCTTATTCTCTCAAAATATCAAATATTAAAATGAATATTCTTTTATCCATTACCCACTTAGAGACTGTTTTTCGGTCGATACATGCATTACTCTATTCACATACCTTTTATCACTATTCGTCAATCAGAACTACTTTCTGATGTGATGGTAATAGAAGTAGGTTGTCTTAATGGAGGGCACTTCACCCCGCAAAAATGCCTATCAACTTCCAAGCCTCTCACCAAAGATGTATCTGGATACGTTTTCACCACAGGAGAACACAGGAGGGGCATATACTTGATTTCAAAGATCAAGATAGCAAATTGCAGTAATTAAAGTATTATTGCAGATGTATTAAAATGCAATTGTAGTACAATAATAAATAAATTCTCAAATTCGACAATTGACATAATCTGAAACTAGCATGTTTGATATTTCCCTTCGCATTTACCATAATCATTACAAATGAGATATAAAGATTATAAAAATGATGTTCGAATGTGTTTACGTTTAGAACGAAACTACCTTTAGAAGAGTTCATTTAATTATGATAAATATCAATAATGTTAGAAATATCAGATTTCACTCAAGTTGCTACCTTGGATATTATACTTAAATGCTTTACAAAATAATAATTTTGGAACATAATTTTTAAAAAGGAAACATAAACTAAAACTGAACTCTGTGGACTTTTTTAGTGTAATACGTTTCATTGCAAAAATAGTTTTACTTAAATTCCGTTCGTCAATATTCACCTCAGAATGGTTCAGGTATATATTCACCGTGGATGTAGCAGTTTTCATTACAGGGCTTAAATTCAGCAAATGGTTTTTAACTTACACCTTCTATCGCCAGCTCGTCCCTTTTAAAAATCTTCCTTATTAGCCTATTATTATTGATAGCTAACTTAAGGGCTTGGTTACTTAATTCTTCTCCATTCATAGCTCCAAACTGCTTCACTCCATTGAGGAAGATAAATTAATTACTGTGCAACGTCGATTATCCGAACTAATAGGCACCATAAAATGCTCTATGTATAAAGTTTCTTTAAGACAATATACCATTAAAATACTGCACTGTACCTACAAAATCCTGTAGATAATAAACACTGGCATACTACAGAACTTAAAGATGGTGAAAATGGTTTTTTTGCTAATAATAAACATTCCGAGTTCTTAAGCATTTATTGTAGGATTTATCAAAGTTCACTGAAGTCAGATGATTGACTATAGTATAGAACCTCGTTCATATTTTGTCACTGTGAATCATATCGGGGACCATTCTCAATATTCAGTATTACAAAAGAAAATGAATACGTATAGTATCCGGTACCTCATTAAAGAATTATTCAAAAAAATATGAGTTCGGATATTTGACGTTTTGGATGATTGACTTTCGGATAATCGATGTCCCACAGTATTTATGTTTTGAATGCCTTGAAACCTTGCGTCAATTCATTCAGAACCCGATCTATTATTTCTGTAATTAACAATCTGAATCTTCTTTGAATGTATTTCATCTTTGCTCTTGCCCTTTTCATCAAACATTCTCTTCTTCTTTCCCCTCCTTTAGAACGAGAATCTAGGATAAGCTAATATATTTCTTTCGCTTCTGTTGCTGTATCAATAGAACTGTTAGACCTTTCTGATTTTATTATTGGGATCTCACGGTTAATATGTTTTGCTAATCGATCGGTAGTAATGTCCTCTCATTGTATGCGTTCATTAACACTGTCAAGGCGGATTGATTCCTTATACTAGAATCAGGAAGGTAATGTTTTAACATTTCTTAGAAGATTAGTTATTTTCATTTCGTTCCAGTTGCTGTTATAGAGCAGGTGCTAAGATAATTAAGAGCATCTATTATTTTCCTAAATGTTTTGATATTACGGTTGCAGCTTCCTCCTTAGCCAACTATCTGGTTTACGGTTTGAGAAATAAGAGAACATGTACATCTCCCAACGGTAATGGAGGAAGCGAAGAAATGTGTCGCTCCCTCCCAAACCGGTGTCGGAAACTTCAGCCTCGGCTGCCACAATCCCTATTTACGTCCCTGACAATCAAGACGCATTATTTGCATCATCCAAACAATATCTTGGACATCTAATCTCACTTATTTCAAAATTTCTTATTCTGTTGCAATTTGGTACTAATGAGCGTTATGTATATTAATCGACAAGTATTTAACTTATATCATTAAGTTTATAATTTTATATCATTAATTTGTCTATTTCTTAATGAATTGCGTGGGTTATCTTACTGATTAACGATAGAGAATTTGGATCAGCGCTATGTGGAAGACTATTTCATATTTTGAAATCTATACACTTATTCAATCAGCAAAGTCTTATTTTCGTTTATTTTAGTAGACATAATTATGTTGCAAATTTTACCAGGTGTACATTATTTTTTTGAGGAATGGAATTGCTTTGAGTTGTTAAGTTATGTTTTACACCACCTTTAACATAGCAAATTGTGTTGCAGTGAACCCGTACAACCCGTACTACCGCGCCCCGGCCGCCGCTGTGCCCTATGATCCTCGCTACCCAGGGACTGCCACGTACGATCCGCGCTATCCGGGTACCTATGACCCTCGCTACCACGGCGCCGCCCACAACTACCCAGGCTACCCGGGCTACCAGGGTTACCAGGGCTATCACAATGGCTATGACTCGAGGTGAGAAGTGACATACACCCAGATTCATTTAACAAATAGTTTGAATGTCTCTTTAAATGAAGTGTGTTAGAGGCATATAAAAGTAAATGCCGAGTCATTTACTTTTATAGATAGTTGATGTCGAGATCCAAATATTGTTTTATTTTCATGAAGTAAGTCTCCACTACATTGTAACGTTGAATGAGTTGCATAGCTTTATCATGTAACAGAGTTTTTCTGGAAAATCAATTAAACTATGCAACTTTAGAGTTGTTGGTTTATAGCTTCAACAATCATTTTCGTCCTCGAGATGCAACATTTATTTCATGTGTTACTGTGCATTATTGCAGTCACTCGTTGAAAAATTCATTTCTTTAATTTCATTATCTCTTCAATGTTGCAGGTATTACAACAATGCGTACCCAACGCACGCGTATCCGGCCAACAAATACTCTCCCAACAAGTACACAGCCAGTGACCGTTACAATCCAGGCGCCTACGACCCGTACTATAAAAACAATTCTCGCTACACGCCGTACGCTCCATACACGACCCCTTACAACGCGGCCTACAATGCACCCTACAACGCGCCATATAGCGCACCCAACAACGCGGCGGTGTACTCACCTTACAACGCCAGCCCGTACGCCTACCCCGGAGCCTACGACAAGAAGGTGTGAAGGCAGGCAAAGTGGTCTGATGAAAGAGCTTTATTTGCAACTTCTCTAACGCTCGCTACAACTACATAACATTGTATTTTTGGCATTTTTTGTTTTATGAAAAACTGACAATAAAATCTTTTCTACATACTACATTTTTCCAGTATTTGTGCGACACATGCAATAAACAATGCCAGACAAGTTGTAACAATAGTTACCTTCTTTACCTTCACCACATTTATGTAAATACCATTTTACAACTAAAGACTGTTTTATGTATGGAACTCACTTGGCATTTGTTCTGCTTTTGAGGATTTATTGAAAACAAGTCACATAACGTAACAAAATAAATTTGTTGAAAATATGCAGTTTATCTGCAAAGAAAATGTAGCAAAATAAATTAAGAAATATTCTTAAAATTTAAAATTGCATTGGATATTAATCACAGAGGAGACAGTGAAGTAAAAGAGAAAAAGTACATTTAATTGATCCAACAGTTTTGTAGAACACGTTCAATTTTAAATGTTCTTGAGCAATTAAGTTAAACAATACACGTAGTTGTAGGTAGTATATAAGGGACACTTTGGAAGGAATTAATAAGGATGGCATGTCAGTGATGAAATATCTATAGAAATTTTTTCCTCAAATTTTAGCAAATTAATTTAAAAAGGCGATAAAAAAAAGTGGCATAGTTAAAATTGAAATAAAATTTTAGAGAAAGAAACAGACTGGCAATAAAAAATAATTTAATGAAGAATAAACATGCTAAAAAAGAAGACATTAAAGTCCTTTCATAAATAACAGAAAATAAAATGGATACAGGATTTCAGTAGAGCTCCTTCAGACAATAAGAAAGAGAGAATTAAGAGATTAACAAAGAGTAAGAATTGCAACAAAAAAACTAAAATAATAATTAAAGGGGATGTAGAAAAAGTACAGTTCATTTGCTTTTCCAAGAAGAAATTGCCATGATACGAAATTGCAATGAGCGTTTAGAAAAACAAGAAATTTTGATTAATATTCTTTTTCACATAAAGGTAACGATTTCATGTTTGACAATAGACACTTGAAGACGCTTCCATATATGTCTTTGATAAACATATAGTATGCGTAGAGGCTTAGAATGGTTTTTGGAAAATAGTTTCTATTCAATTGATTCGTATAAAAAATAAACATGACTTCTATAGAGCAAGAAAATATGCAATAAGTAAAATATTTCATTGTTCTCCGAAATGCAGCAAAATACCGGAAGAAAATAAATATTGAAATTCAAAGTTGGTTTAGATATTAATAGTATAGACGACTTTGAAGAGAGCAAGGACAAATTTATTGTTAAGAGTCAGAAGAATTTTCTTAATTTTAGCTGTACGCTGCGGATATTTATTTCCTACTCTCTTGAAAGTGAACTTGATTCAAACGATGGTAATAAAGAATATTTCATAGTAAAAACGTGTTCGGTGGGTTAAGACGGCTAAGAGTACAGCTTTAATAATAAACATAATGAGACAGCGGGTCATATGAATAAACTTGAGCACTTGCTCAGGAGTACTTGCTCCGGAGCAAAGTGAGTCTACTCCGCGGCACTGAGCAGAAGCTCCATTTTGTATGAGTCAAAACTTATATATTATAAACGAATGTCTATGAAAAACTTACTCATGTCTCGCGAGCATTTGCTCGCCTTGAACAAGTGATAGTGCAGGCTAAAAGTTTTAAAAATTAGTTTCTTGAGCAACAAAGAGGTTACATACGTTACGCGCGTCGCGTAGTGAGGATTAAAGAGCAATGTTTTGTTGTCTCGTTCTTTAAATTCGAATATAAGTAGCAGTAACGAAAAGCAGGCGCCAGAGGTCCAACTAGTTTGTGCCGAAATACTAAGCGAATATAAAATTAATTTTGAAAGTAGACAACTTTCGGAGGTACGCTGTGGCCGAAACGAAACATTACAAAGTTTGAAAAAACAGTACCCCGAAAAATTCCAAATAGAAAAGTGCGATGGCCAATTAACATAGAAAATGTGCAGTATGAAAACGTGCCTGAAAGCAAACGCCGATAAAATCATACCAACCATAGATTGTCCTTTTCGAATCTGCAAAGATTCTAATAGTGTACATCACGATAATTTCGCATATCAACACACGGTAAAAAATCGGCCAATTTAACCTTACTTTTCAAACGTGAGTCTGCTACTAAGGTCCCTCCAAAATTTTGGAGCAAGTGCTCACTCTAGAGAGTAAACGCTTAACTTTATTCATACCAATTCTGAGCATTTGACCGCCAGTGGGGAGTACGCTCAGAGATGTAGCAAGTGCTCAGGGACTCAGCAATTGCTCACCCACTTTATTCATACGAAACTGAGAAGGATCTCCGAAACTCGGAGCAAAGAGTAATTGCTTACTATTTTATTCATACCAACCAGCATTCACAACGTAGAATGAAACAAGATCAATTCCTATTCATAGACATCTGATCTCATTAATACAGCTCATTTTGAATATTGTATCGCATTTGTACATTTAAATTATGAAGAATGCTTTAAGCCGTGATATTCCCGATAAGTTAATCAATCTGAAAGTGTTCTTACGAGATTAAAAGCGGTATAATGGCAATGTAAATCAAGTTTTATAGACAAAGAAGCGTATCACTCAACTTATTACAGTTCTTCCAGCGATCGCACTGGAAAGTTATGATTTGAGATCAAGAGCATAAGCTCAACTGACATGACTCGGGAAATTATCAGTATCCATATGAATAAATAGAAATTCACAATATCAGTACCATCATCAGAATAATCACAAACCATCACATCCTCTCTCATTATCTATAGCGTCGAACTACTACAAAGAAATCAATATCTCTACGAATTCTGCTTTGTCTCAAACGCTGAGCAACCTGCAAATATTGTAACCTGAATTCATTACTGTTCATCACAAACCCACGAGTCTTCTCCGAGCGTAAGTGTCCGCGCAACGCAGCGGGGCGCGGGGAGACTCTTAAAACTGCTCGGAGCCGAAGTGGAAGCCGCCGCTGCCTCCGGCCGAGCTGGAGAGCTCGCTGCCGAAGCCGAAGTCAAAGCCACGCAAGTCCACGGCGTCCCGTTGCGGGGCGGGGGCGGAAGCGGGCGCCGCGCGCTGGCTCGAGGAGAGAGAGCTGCTGCCCAAACCGCCGCCCGCACCGCGGCTAGTCGCTGCCAACACCACACAAACCAGCATTTTATTCAATTGATGTATTTACTTATGAATTAACTGATTTATTTATTTAGTTTATTAATGTATTATGTAGGTAGTTCTGCAACAATGGAAATGTAAAGTTCCCAATACCAGAACTGGTGGGTGAAATTCTACCTTCACAACAGTCCAGACAAACTTGGTCACCCTTCGATCCGGGGGAGGGATGCGTTGATCAATCGCTTCAGACAGAGCTTTAGTGCCTATGTGATTGACGCAAACTACCATGGGGCAGGAAACATGTTGTTCTGGGGAGTGGGGCCTCGATATGAGGCGGAAATATCGTCATCTTTCCCTGCCGAAGGAGAGATTTTGCCTGAGCGTACGCCACAACGAAAAATTATTTCTGAGCGCGGGGTTTTGGTCCAGAATTATTGTCAATAGAACAGTAAATATTTAGCACTTTAGCAACTATTATACTATGTTTTAGCAAGGAATTTGCAATACTATCTTTAAGCAATCAACTCCATTAAACTGTTGTATTAAAATGTTCATCTCAGGCACAATTTGCGGATCCTTTCTCTCAGTTCTAGAGCATATATCGAATTTGTTTATAAAATTGTAAATTGTTGCAAATTTGTTAATTCGCGGATTTCGGGTCTAGGAGATCGGGAGACTCTCCCCTCTTTAAATCAGCAATAGTTGAAAATAGTTTATAAATTTGCAAATATTGCAAATTTATTATTACCTCCTCTAAATCCTCTGTAAGCGCAATACAAAATTCTGCAATCCAATTGATGCTATCAACTTCTGTTCTCAAGATATTTAATTGTGTATTGCATCTCATAATCACCCCCCATTTTTTGCACTCATTCCATTTGCTCTCTGCACACAAGTATACTGAAAAGAGAACTTTTCAATGTCTCGCTTGAATTGTTCGCTTCATACGCTTAATGCCGAAGGCAGAGGTGATATCGCGGCCACGGTAACGCCTCCAGGCGGTAAACGGTGCGACGGAGCGAAATTATTGTTTTTAAAATTTCTTTTTAAAAAAGAAGCTGTAACATTAGTAGTTTATAAAGGTAGTTTCGTGGGATCATTGCAGTAAGAATTCTGTCAAACGGCAACTATGGCTGTTTTCTAAAGATAAAACTTTCCTTTTTATTCTCAACAGCCATTAAATCTCCCATTTCAATGTTTTAATTCACGTAAAGGTTATTAGCATATAAACAAATTATCTGGTATATTTAAAAACACCGAGAGAACCAATTTTATCGTGAATATGAACAGAAGATATATATGATTTTATTTTATCTTCTTCATTTAATAGTACAACTTGTATTGCTATCGGCTAGCAAAGAAACTGTTTAAAAAGATATATTGCAAATTTCATTATGTCGAAAGGCTGGCTCATTAAGCAATAGTGCCAATAATATTTCCTCTCAAGAGCAAGTTGAGTTATGGAAGGTTTCAGTATTCTGTAACTTTTCAATGACCCTGACCCACGTGACTTCGGTAGGAAAAATAAACGAAGGTGCATTTACTGTGAACATTTACTTTGAAAAATGTGAAAAAAATTGAATTTTGATTGAACAGTGAATAAATGCTGCCCAAATCTTGAATTGTATCTCTGTCTATAACACCTTGAAATTTCTGATACGTAGACTAGTCTTTGACGTCGGGGTTAAGGAATATTTCTTTTAAAATAGGTATTTACGTATCTCAAACAAATTGAGTGAGATGGAATTTCTATTTAACAAATTCTGATATCGTTTAGTAGGGCACTGATATTTAATAGTGCAAGCTAAAAAAAATGAAAATAACCACTATACTGAAAGAAACAATGAAATACGGTTCTTCCTACCAGAATCAATAGTAACATTTGGCCCAGCTATTTTTGTTGTTGACACACCGTAGGCGCCATGTGTGGACCTCCGTGGGGCTCTAAACCACCTTTCTGGTGGTCCCCTTGTCTACGTAGTACCCTGAACCACAAAATATTTGCTATTAATGGTTGACTCTCTCGGAACTTCGGCAAGTGGTTCCACAACCTAAATGTTTACGCTACAGTTACTACAAAAAGTATTTATACCAACAATGGAATTATTGGCATCAACCCATACCTTTTACCCATACCCATACCACGTACCTTTTTGAATTGTAAAATTGAATCCAAAAATTGTTACATTCATTTTTAATGCAAAAATGAGAAAGCACTCCCGTTAATTTTTATAACTTGAACACTAATAGCAGATTATAATTTCATGCATTAAGATTAAAACTCAAATAATTTCATATTATTTTAGCAAATATATTCTTGTAATATTTAATAGCTAAGAAATATTATATCTTCCTTACCCAACAAAAAACAAAACAAAATTAAGCGAAATTCATTTATATTGTGCACTTTTAAGTACGATTGCAGGTAATTCATTTCTTTGTATTGATTTATTTGGTTCCTTGTTTCACTGAAGTCATTTGCAACTTGTGGCGCACAACAATGCATACATAAAAGTTTGAGTTTTTTACATTTCACGAAACTAAATTATTAGTTTTATCCTTTATTTATTGTTAGTTGTGTGCTGAAAGTTGCGAATGGCTCCAGTGAAAGAAGGGTCTGAAAAAATTAATACCATACAACTCAATCACATTAATATGAAAACAGTTTCGCAAGCATGAAATCCACAAACAAGAAAATGAACACATATGATATCATTTGAAATACAAAGATATGGGAAATCGATATGAAAAAACATTTGATGAATTCATTTAAAAATTATGTAATTATATTTGAAATAATTATTTACATAATCTTTTTATACTTTTTCATAATTAACAAGTAACAGCTCATAATTGCCCTAGGTCACAAAAAACGAAACATTACAATGAAGCCAAATTTAATTAGGTTATATTAGTTCTAAGAGATCCAGTAAAGTAAGATACCAGTTTTGCATCTGAGAATGTTGTCAATCTGTACATAGTAAAAATTAGACTTATGTACACATGTACATTTTAGAGGGAGTATGTAGCCTCGAGTAATAAAAATAATATTTCATGCAGTGCTTACTGCTTGAGAATAGGTAACATCATCACGAGGCTAAATTAAAATTCATTGTATTTATGCACATATTTGTTATTTTATTGAACTATTAATTATTACTTGCAGGTCTCTCATTGTTAAACGAAGTTCAAATAAGTTTAGTCAAATAACAAGTTTTGTGGTCCAAAAATAGTGAGTCAGGAAACAATTTAAACATTTTTAAACAAGAAATAATAATTACAAAAGAAAATAGATTTTATAAATGCATTAATCATGATTGATTCTTAACGTCAAACTCAAGCAATGTTAAGTGTTCCCAAATTATAAATTGTTATGAAAAATGCAGTAGAATTAAATGTTTACATGAGAGGAGTAGTTCAAATCCCTATTTATTTTTTCTAAAACTTTGTTATTGTTTAGTAGGTCAATGATGGCACAGGAACATTAGTATCACATGTTCCCTGAAACTGGATAAACATTTTATTTATATTTTTTTTATAAAAATCTGTGACATAATCAAAGCCATCAGTCATCAAATGCGTGCGGCGATGGTGTACCCAAGCTGGCGGGTTCAAACCCAATCGAAGCCGTGGATTTTTAAGGGCGAAAAAATCCTTCGTACGCTTTCCTTCGGAGGGAAAGTAAAACCGGCTGGCCCATGTTAGTAGATTTACTTGCAAGTAAAAGATCCGCAATCCTAAATGACGCCTCTGAGCTAAATTCAAATAGCCTGTTTCTCGCCCAAGTAATACCTTCTTTCTCTGCTAGTTGGTGAAAGGAGCGTAGCGCAATTTGCGTGGTCGGACGGAAGAGCAGGTCTCATGGCCTGAGTCTCGCCACGTAAAAGAAGGCATTAATTCAATTCAATTCATTCAATCAAAAGATGATTGTTTCGAATTTTCTACAATACCCATTATAGAAACAAAATTCTCACCTCAGAGCATGAAGTTTCCATTGTTGCATGGGATACCAATTATATACACATTAAAAGCTTGAAACATAAAATTTGTTAATCTTTAGTAATTTATGTGACAGTATTCAGAATGTATAAAATAAGAACAATCAAAATTGTTTAATAAATTAAAGCTCAAACCATCAAGGAAAGGAAACTTCATATTTTATTAGATGAAGCTCCAAATTTCAAATTCCAACTATGCAATTCTTAATGTGGTTTTCTGAAGTAAAGTTTAGTCTGCTTTCCGTCACTGGCGTTTAGACCACTTCCCGTGCACCAATCGAGACGTATATTCGACGTGTTTCGATCTGGTGGGGAACTGATAATTTGTGTTCGTATCCCGTTAGAAGATTTAAAGGAATTTCCAAAAACGTTTTTTCGTGTTTTGGCGTTGCGATCTTAGTGATAATGCCAGGAATTAAACCAACGCATCCTCTATCGATCTACGTAGGTGGCATTGATTAAATATCAGAAACCAAAGGTATTTCTTGGTTAATACGCAATAATTTTCTTTTACGACGTTGGTAACACTGATGTTGACATCTTCAAGTGAATAATTGAATAACCACGTAAATCACGCTGCAGTTTGATTTCAATTTAGTGTCGAATCATTATCGTATTTTTTAAAATAAATTTCCGAATCGCTATCAACAGTATTGCCTCGGAAATTATTGAACTTGAAGAATTTCAAGTGAATATGAAGAAAACACAACTGAGTAATGCTAGAGAATGAATGAACGTTCTTATGTTCGACTTCACACTTTTACGTTCTTATATAGGTGTGCAAATATCGATTTTCAAATGTATGTGACTCACAACGTATTATTATTCAAATTAACTAACACCTTATTCGCATAAGCATACAAAATAGTCTACTTTCAAAGTTAGATTCATATGCAACGCTGGATTCGCATACAAAACGATTAACAGAACAATTGCAGAAGTAGAAGTGAACGTAAGTTGGACTGTGTTTGTGAAGTTTTAATCTCTTCAAGAATTAGGGGAGAAAAACATGGACGTTTTAT